CTTCAATTGGTTACCAATACTGAAGCCAAAATTGTTTTGTTAAGTTTTTTTGGCCTCTCGGCTTAAGGGATCTTAGGAATCTTATTTTCCCAACCAGGTATTGAACACTTGCCCTCAGCAGTGAAAGCTCAGGACCCTAACCACAGGACCACCAGGGAATTCCCCAGAAGGGTTATTTTAAATATAAGCCATGTGATGGTACTCTTCTGCTAGAAACCCTGCAGTGGCTTCCTATTTCTTTTCTTTTTGGCTCCCTATTTCAAAACAAAAGCCAAGCACACAAGACCCTGTAAGATCTGCACTCCCTTGCCCCTCAATACCCCCCCACCCCCCGCCCCACTCTCCTGCCACTCACACTCTCCAGCAACACTCTTCTCCTGGCTGTTTTTCAGTAACACCAATCAGATGTTCCCTCTTGCCTTGGATGCTCTCCCAGCTAGCCCACTGGCTAACCTTCTTGCTTCCTTCAGTTCATTGTTCAGATCTCACTTTGGCACTGGTGTCCAAACTGGCCACCTATTTAACGATGTAATCTGTTCCCTCTTTTTAAAAAATATAATGTTATTTATTTAATTTTGGCTGTGCTGGGTCTTTTGCTGCCAGGGCTTTTCTCTAGCTGCAGTGTGTGCGCTTCTCACTGCGGTGACTTATCTAGTTGCAGAGTACGGGCTCTAGGGCGCAGGGGCTTCAGTAGCTGCTGAGTTACTGAGCCACCAGAGAAGCCCCAACCTGCTCCCTCTTAACTTGCTCTACTTTCCCCCCACATTGCCTTGTCGTTACCTTTGTTAGAATACAAGCTCCAAGAAGGCAGGAAACTGATTTGTTCATCTAGACCAGTGTCTGGCACCCGGCAGGTGCTCACTAAATGTTAAATTTAAACATTAAATCCCTATATTCTTCACAATACTACCAAGAAGTCTAACTAATAATACAGGGTGGCTGTTGGACTCCCACTGCCTTCTCCCACACGTAGCAGAGAAGCTACCTCGAACTGGAAAACACCGAATTTTCAGTTCTCCAAAGCTCATTCTCTGCTAGCTCAAAAGTGTATGTCCCTAGCTCACCTTTTCCAAATTGGGCGAGATCCCGGAGCCTCACCCCAGGGTTACGCCAGAGATTGTACTTGACTCTTCCAATCAGCCAATCAAAATCGCCGTCCTTTTTATTCTTTTGCCCCTTAAAGGACTTCGTTTTCCGATTGGTTGTTCCAAGAGGGGCGGGACGAAGCGGATTTGGCAGGTGGGCGCCAAGCTAAGGTGGTTGCCTAGGTCACCACCCCGCATTCCAGCAGCTGAGGGAAATGGGCGGGGTGGGGAGCGGACCTCCCACCCCTACCTACGGTGGGGCCTGGGATTGGTTCGCAGCTGTTTGGCCACGCCCCCAACCCAACTATGGCGCACCCAAGCTGGGGTTACGCGGGGACCTAGAAGACGCCTGCCTGGGAAGGAGACCTCAACGGCCCGGACACCTAATCCTCGCCCGGAGTAATCGCCCGGTCCTGACGCAGGGAGAGGTGCCTCTGCTGGCAGAACCTCTACGATCACATTCATTCATGCTACAGTGCGAGCCCGGAGGTCTGGACCCATACCCAGTAAATTGCGAGAAAACAGGCCGGGGCTGCACCGCTTCTAAACCGCTGTTAAAAGAGGGAGTGGACTCTAGGTGACCAACGAGCCTGCCTCGATTGGCAGGCCCTGTCCGTCATGGAAGTCCCTGGACTTCGACTTCCTCTAAAGTAAATGAATAGGCATCGGGAAGCTACAGAACTGGGCCCCGCTCTGGCATATCCTATTTCTAGGCCTGTTTCCGTATACTGAAGTGAAGGGATTAGACTAGATGTTCTCTAAGGTCCCTTCTAGTGTTCCTTACTAGCTGTGAAACAGCCCAAGTAGCACGTGTAAAGTTCTTCATAAATGTTTGACCTAGTATATAAATTTTAAGCAAGTTACATTGCTATCTTCTCATCCTCCTTACATTCTATACCTAGAAATTCCAGGAATGGAGGAAAAGTCTATGATGGCACCTAAAAAGAAAATAGGGACTGTCAACAGATACCAAAAAGGCTGATTGCCTGCCACTCAGGAGATGATGCTGGAGAAAAGGGTGAAATAATCTCTTAAGCCCCTCATTTTACAGAAGAGAGAACTTGAGAGTAGCTGAGTCAGGCTGCTAATAGGAGGAACCAGGTTTCCTGACTTGACTCCATGATTGGTTTCTTTACATGTTACAGTATTGGCAAAGGGAAGGCACAGCTGTGCAAAAACAGGTAAAGAAATTGTTGACAGAAATAAAAGCAGACAAATTAATTTGTAGCATTCCTCACTTTCATTTACTTAGGTTTTCTCTCTTCCCGACATTTGAGGTGACTTAAAAACAAAGAAGAAATAGAGCAATAAAAAAATAAAACAGGGCTTCTCTGGTGGCTCAATGGTAAAGAGTCCGGTTGCCAATGCAGGAGACACAGGTTCGATCCCTGATCCTGAAAGACCCCACATGCTGAGGAGCAACTAAGCCCATGTGTCACAACTACTGAGCCTGTGCTGTGGGGTCCAGTAACCCAACTATTGAGTCCACGTGCTGCAACTACTGAAGCCTGTGGACCCTAGAGCATTTGCTCTTCAACAAAAGAAGTCACTGTAATGAGAAGCCCTTGCACCAAACAACGAAAAGTAGCCCCCGCTCACTGCAACTAAAGAAAAGCCAGTGCAGCAACGAAGATTCAGCACAAAAATAAATAGATAAAATTTAAAAAAATAAAAAAAATTATTTATCTTTTCTGCTTTTCCTTTCTGTCACCTTTGTCTCCCCAAAAGAGCTTCTCAACTTCTAATGTTCCAAACCCACCTTTGTAAGACTCTTCAGTGGTCACCCACCCACCTTCCAATAAAAAAAAAAGGCGGAAAAAAAAAAAGCCAACTAAAACCAAAACCAAAGTGGACCATTTACACAAAATGTCCAGACCAGGCAAATCTACAGAGACAGAAAGTACATGAGTGCCTAGAGTGGAAGGGGTCAGGGTGTGAGGGGTGGGAGTGGAAGGGCAGGGTGGGAGATTTAACGGGGGCTCAAGAAGTGACTCCCGATAGATATGAAGTTGATTTGAGGAGTGATGAAAATGTTCTAAACTTAAGGTGATGGTTGCTCAACTTTGCGTTGAGCACAAAATCACAGACTAAAAATCACAAAATGGTCCACTTTCAGTAAGTGAAGTATACAGTATGTGAATTCTATCTCAATTCAGCTGTCATAACAGAAGAGACATACCAAGAAAAAAAAACAAAACAAACCAACATGTGCCTTTGCTGCTTCTCTAGGTTCTATGTGTTTAATCCTCTCACTCTGAGGGGATCTGGGCCATCTGCCCCTGGAGATGTTTCCTGAATCTCCAACTGTGTCACCTCCAGGGTTGCCCGCCTCCTGCCCCCACCTCCCCTTCAAGCTCTGCGTGGTCCCTATCATGGAAGGAAACAGGCTGGTTCCCCTGACCACTTGCTCACCCACTGCCTCTACCACCTCATTTCATGGCCACTCTGGATGGAGTTGGCCAGACAAGGGAAGGACAGACGAGGCAGAATAGAGGTGAATCTTTCAGGAGGTTGGAGAAGCGAGAAATGATCTACAGCAAAATCAGAAAGAACAAGGGAAGGCTGAGAAGGAAAAGAATCCACTTTGGGACTTCCCTGGTGGTCCACTGGCTAAGATTCCACACTCCCAATGCAGGGGCCCTGGGGTTCAATCCCTAGTCAGGGAATTAGATCCCTCATGCCACAACTAAGACCCAGCACAGTCAAATAAATATTTTTTTTTTAAAAAGAATAAACTTCACCCCTCCTGAAAGTTGTTTTTTCTCCCCTACTGGAATGCTTGAAGAATTAACAAATAGCATGAGTCGATTTCCTCAGTCTAGACTGTATTCTTTCTGGAGTTTTTGGAGGGAGGAGAAGACAGGCAGTTTTACACATTTGCTTCCTGTCAGTTTTTTACATAAAAGCTCATCTTCTCAGAGAAATACCCCTGGCTTCTCTCTACAAAACAGCAACATGTTCCCTGATGAGGACACTTCCCAGTTTCCCTTCCCCGCTTTGTTATTTTGTTTCTATGTCTTCCTTAGACTTTAACTTCTGTAAGGGCAGGTTTTATTTTAATTAAAAAATTTTCTTTGGTTGCACTGTGCAGCATGCGGGATCCTAGTTCCCAGACCAGGAAAGGAACCCATGCCCCCTGCAGTGAAGTGTGGAGTTCTAACCCCTAGGGACTCCTAGGGATGTCCCTGGTGTTCTTCTTCATCTGTTTAAGTCCCTGGGTTCCTCAAGTAAAAACTCAGTTAAAATACACATAAAATAAAATTTACCATTTTAACTATACTGAAGTGTAAAGTTCTGTGGTATTAAATAAAGCCTCAGATGTTTGGAAGGGGCACAGTGCTAAGCTCAGAAGCCCTGGAATCAGCCCAGATAGACTTAGCTCCTGGCTCAGCCTGTTACCCTGTGGCTTCAGGCGAGTTAAACAGGCATTAGAGCCTCTGCCATCTCTCTGTAGAGGAGATACGGTATTGATGCCACGACCCTAGTGGGGCTGGAAGGCCATGGGTGTGAAGCACGAGGCAGGGCTTGACTCATGGGGAGCTACGGTACATGTGAACCATTGTTGTTAATTCTAGAGCTTGGAATTCAGAATCAGAATCAAGTTGGGTTTCACTCACAAGGTCACATGGATACAGCTCGGTTAGAGATGTAACTTTAGCTGAATTTCGAGCAAAGCCTCCTGGTCCAGGGGTTTGTGACGCACTCCTGGCTGTCAGGACTGAGTAAGCCTCTGTTCTCTCTTCTCTGGGGCTGCCTCTCCATTCTTCTGCAGCACTAGGACGTGGTGAGCAGGGGGTGCTGCTTCCAGCCTTGGGCCTGGGCTGAAATTTGATACTTATTTTTTGCCTGGGGCATCTCCTTATGACACTTATTTCCTTAGCCATAACCAGGTGTCTGCTGTGTGCAGGAACAGTAATGGTTGCTAGGAAAGTGAAGATAGATCCCATTTGGACCCCATCCTCAAAGATCTTACAGTTCAACCAGGGGAATAAGACAGGTATGACTGGGCCATCTACTAGCTGGTAATTACTTATTGGGGCTTCCCTGATGGGTCAGCAGGTAAAGAATCCACCTGCAATGCAGGAGACACTGGAGACTCAGGTTTGATCCCTGAGTCAGGAAGATCCCCTGGAGGAAGAAATGGCAAACCCCCTCCAGTATTCTTGCCTGGAAAATCCCATGAACAGAGGAACCTGGTGGGCTACAGTCCACGTGTTGCAAAGAGTCAGACACAGCTAAGCATATGCACAGTTATTTACTGACCGCCTGCCATGTGTGAGATGCTGTCTAAGACAATGATTCAAGAGCAGCCATAGAAATCTAGAGGAGGGAAGAAATGGTGGGGGCCTAGTCATACTCATCTAACCCGGTGCCCAGCCTCCAGAAATACTGCTAAGATGGATGGAGGTGGTTGGATGTTTGGTTGTTGGGGAAGGTTTCATGGAATAGGACTAGCTGTGGACACTGCTAAACAGAATTTACTCACTGGAGAAGATACTGCAAAGATATGGTTCATCTGAGAAGCTGTGAGGCAATATAGCTGGATATGAGTGTTTCTGTAGGGCAAGTGGAAAATTCAAATGGAAACGGAGTCCAAGAAAGAAAAGGAAAAGTGTGAAGGAGGCTGGGCGCATACTTCCTGTTGTTATTATTTTTTGGCTGCACCATGTGGCATGTAGGACCATAGTTCCCCCACCAGGGACTGAACTCATGCCCCCTGTATTGGAGCAGGGAGTCTTAGCACCAGACCACCAGGAAAGTCCCTCTCTGTGTTCTTTACACACAGGTCCCTCTGGGTTTACTTTCTATTTGAGTCCTTTTGATAAGAGACATGGGCTTCCCTAGCAGCTCAGCTGGTAAAGAATCTGGCTGCAATGCTGGAGACCTGGGTTCAATCCCTGGCTGGGGAAGATCCCCTGGAGAAGGGAACAGCTACCTACTCCAGTATTCTTGCCTGCAGAATTCCATGGACAGAGGAGCCTGGCAGGCTACAGTCCATGGGGGTTGCAAAGACTCAGTGGCTCTAGGTGCTATACAGTGAAAGTGACAAACAGATTCACGGGATTAGATCTGATAGACAGAGTGCCTGATGAACTATGGACAGAGGTCCGTGACATTGTACGTGGGGCAGTGATCAAGACCATCCCCAAGAAAAAGAAATGCAAAAAGCCAAAATGGTTGGCTGAGAAGGCCTTACAAAGAGCTGAGAAAAGAAGAGAAGCTAAAGGCAAAGATAAAAGGAAAGATGTATCCATTTGAATGCAAGCTCCAAAGAATAGCAAGGAGAGATAAGAAAGTCTTTCTCAGAGATCAATGCAAAGAAATAGAGGAAAACAATAGAATGGGAAAGACGAGAGATCTCTTCAAGAAAATTAGAGGTACCAAGGGAACATTTCATGCAAAGATGGGCACAATAAAGGACAGAAATGGTAGGGACCTAACAGAAGCAGAAGATACTAAGAAGAGGTAGCAAGAATACACAGAAGAACTTTACAAAAAAGATCTTCATGACCCAGATAACCACAATGGTGATCACATACCTAGAGCCAGACATCCTGGAATGTGAAGGCAAGTGAGCCTTAGGAAGCATCATTACCAACAAAGCTAGTGACGGTGATGGAATTCCATTTGAGCTATTTCAACTCCTAAAAGATGATGCTGTGAAAGTGCTGCACTCAATACGCCAGCAAATTTGGAAAACTCAGCAGTGGCCACAGGACTGGAAGAGGTGTTTTCATTCCAATCCCAAAGAAAAGCAATGTCAAAAAATGTTCAAACTACTGCACAATTGCACTCGTGTCACATGCTAGCAAAATAATGCTCAAAATTCTCCAAGCCAGGCTTCAAGAGTTTGTGAACTGTGAACTTCCAGAGGTTCAAGCTGGATTTAGAAAAGGCAGAGGAACCAGAGATCAAATTGCCAACACCTCTTGGATCATCAAAAAAGCAAGACAGTTCCAGAAAAATGTCTATTTCTGCTTTATTGACTATGCCAAAGCGTTTGACTGTATCACAGCAAACTGGAAAATTCTTAAAAGAGATGGGAATACCAGACTACCTTACCTGCCTCCTGAAAAATCTGTATGCAGATCAAGAAGCATCAGTTAGAACTGGACATGGAATAACAGACTGGTTCCAAATCGGGAAAGGAGTACATCAAGGCTGTATACTGTCACCCTGCTTATTTAACTTCTATGCAGAGTACATCATGTGAGATGCTGGACTGGATGAAGCACAAGCTGGAATCAAGATTGCTGGAAGAAATATCAATAACCTCAGATATGTAGATGACACCACCCTTATGGCAGAAAGTGAAGAGGAACTAAAAAGCCTCTTGATGAAAGTGAAAGAGGAGAGTGAAAAAGTTGGCTTAAAGCTCAACATTCAGAAAACTAAGATCATGGCATCTGGTCCCATCTCTTCATGGCAAATAGATGGGGAAACAATGGAAACAGTGAGAGAGTTTATTTTCTTGGGCTCCAAAATCACTGCAGATGGTGACTACAGCCATTAAATTAAAAGATGCTTGTTCCTTGGAACAAAAATTACGACCAACCTAGACAGCATATTAAAAAGCAGAGACATTACTTTGCCAACAAAGGTCCATCTAGTCAAAGCTATGGTTTTTCCAGTAGTCATGTATGGGTGTGAAAGTTGGACTATAAAAAAAGCTGAGCACTGAAGAATTGATGCTTTTGAATTGTGGTGTTGGAGAAAACTCTTGAGAGTCCCTTGGACTGCAAGGAGATCCAATCAGTCCATCCTAAAGGAAATCAGTCTGGAATAGTCATTGGAAGGACAGATGCTGAAGCTGAAATTCCAATACTTTGGCCATCTGAACTGACTCTTTGGAAAATATCCTGATGCTGGGAAAGATTAAAGGTGGGAGGAGAAGGAGACAACAGAGGATGAGATGGTTGGATGCCCTCACAGACTCGATAGACATGAGTCTAAATGAGCTCCGGGAGTTGGTGATGGACAGGGAGGTCTGGCATGCTGCAGTGCATGGGGTTGCAGAGTCAGACAGAACTGAGTGACTGAATTGAACTGATAGAGCCCCAGGAGCCAAAAACCTGCATCTCCATTCTAGGAAAAACATCAATGCAAGCACAACAGCTGTTCCTCTGGCTCAGAGACAGAGAGGACTCAGAGTGGGTGGGACTAGGGTAAACAGGGAACAGAGCCCTACCTAAAAGGGAGCAGGCACTGCTCGGTTCAAACCAGATGCTGGAGGCAAGAACCTGGGCCGGCTGTTTCCAGCTCTACTGATGGATCATAAGCTGGAAATCTGTGTGTGTGTGCTTAATGAAGTCTTCCAAAGTTAAACATCAATTTGAATTTTGAAAAGCAACTCTGCTACGTAGGGTTCTACTTAGGGAACCAAGAGAAACCAGGTTAGACAGATGGGCTGAAGCCAAATTTCAACTGGCCTTGAATGCCATGCTTACAGAGGTCTGATTTGAGTCCATAGACAGCTTTAGTTTAATAGATTTTTTAAAAAAAGACTAAAAGTTGGTAAGAAGATGAGGGAAGCAGAGTGGGGTGGCAGGAGAAAAAATAACTGGGCTTCCAACTTGACTTAGAATGACCCAGCCATCTCGCAAAAAGAAAGGGCAACGGGGCCGGTTTCAGACCTGCTTGGTTCAGAGAAGGTAGCCGGATGCTAACCCATCGCCCCAGCTGACCGGGTACTGAGCCCGCGGGCCTGAGAAGCGCGACGCGCGTTCCTGCCTCCGCTCCTGACACCGAGGGTCTGGGACAAGCCCATTTATAAAGCAGTCGCCTACAAGATGGGGCCCGATACCCCCGGCTTCTCGGGGCAGTTGTGGAGTTAAGGAGGAGAGGGACCGACCAGCACTAAGGAGCAGGGAGGAACGAGCGAGCGCTTTCTTACCCGGGGCTCTGGAAGGTTCGAGGTCTCGGGGAGGGGCCAGCGGGGGACGGGGAGGCTGGCGCTTCCAGGAAAAACGGCCCCCCACCCCATGCTTCCCCGTGACAGCCTGCGACGGGGGAAATCAGAAGCCTCCCGGGGCGGCCAAGTTCACCGGCGTCTCCCGCACGCCGGGGAGGCATCTGTTCTGGAGGGGCAGGCCTTCGCCACCCCAACTCAGAGTCACCCCTTTCTAGATCCCGGGGGTCAGGGATGCCTTTCGGGGAGCCCTACCCCTCTGCCCGCCCAGGGCTCATCCGGCCCACCGTGGGACTCCTGGCGAGGCGGGGCAGAGCGCCGCAACCGGTAGCCAGCGCGCCGGATTCCCGATTCCCAAACCCCCGCACCGCCGGAAGCAAAGTTTCCTCCCGCCCCCAACGCGGCCTCTCTAGGAGCCTGGGGTGCAGGCGTCTCAGTGGGAATAACCCCTTCGACCCCGGCAGAAAGCTGCAACTGGAGGAATTAGTTCCCTTGCTCCCTGAGAAGGGCCGAGTTGTCTAGTGTTCACTCTGGGGGACGTTTTGATGATTCTGGTGCCCAGATCAGGGGGAGAAGCAAAGCCCAACTGCCTGGGTTTCTAAACCAGTTCAACTGTTATTCCTCTGCTCTGAGCCTTGGCTTTTTTGCAAACATAACCGAGCCAGCTCAAAGGCTTTCTGTATGGATTCAATGAATTAATATATGCAACCCCTTAAGTGCGCTTGATACATAATAAGTGTTCAATAAATGCTAGTGTTTGTTCGTTTGTTTGTACTGCTACAAACTGTTGTGGCGGTGGTGGTTTTGGTAGCATGGCTGGTGGAATCTTAGTTCTCCGACCCAGTATTGAACTGACGCAGAGTTCTAACCTCCGGACCGCCAGCCAATTCCTTACTGCTTCATTTTTTTAAATGGCTATTGGTAGAAGGTCAGTTCTGCGACAGGAACATCAGGAACACCATAGAGAGGATAGTAAGGGGCTGCTGTTGATTGTGGAGCTTCTTGCTAGGTTTCTTGTAGACCTGATCTCACTGGCTGCGGGGCACTTTCGTGAAGGGAGTATTCTTCCCATTTTATGGGCAAGCGAG